CAAGCCTGAATCGCGTATGGGGTCTCACATACGCATTGAGCATCCGGGGGGAGATGAAGGGATTGAACCACCCGAAAGCCCTCCGTAACAGACCAACATGTTGATTCGCAGTTTTGAACACCTTCAAGGGTTACGCCAAACAGCCGAGATCGTTTTGCGTCACCACCCCAAAGTCTTGCTGTTGTGAGGCGGTTCTCAACATGACGTCTTTAAGCTTATATGCGTACGTGGGCTTGTAGCGGACATGCACGGTTTTGCAATTCCCCGTGTTAAACGAAGGTAGATTTCGTGTATTATGCCCATTTAACATTCGAAGAAGAGTAGTTTCTGCGAAGGGATCTCTTTTCGATAATACTCCTTAGGCATTTACCATTATGAGGAAACTTGATACAACCCGATAAGCTATCTAAAGCTGCAGTAGTGAATGGTTAGGTCACAGTTCAACTGAAGCTCAACGAGCCAATCGATAGATCAGTCAATGCAAGCAGGTGATAAACATCACGCGCTTTCACACCCACACACTAAAAGGCAAACATAACAAGAAAGCAATGGTTGGCTTGGCGGCAAAGCTCACAGTTAGTCCTGGACTTGGGTAGGTAACGACGGCGTCAATCGTTCCGAGCAAGACAGCATGACTGCTAGTACAAGCTTCCTCTGCTTGCGTAACTGCGGTTACAGCAGCGTGATAGCCTTACTTCCGAAGTAGCCAACAGACCCTTCCTGAGTCCTTTTGGATTGCGTTAGATACGACGTAGAGAACTGTGAAAGCGCCATCGGTCTGCACATGATGCCCGTACTAATCAGGTGTGCATTCTTAACTATATCGTGCCGTAAAGAGACGGGTCAGTGTTCCGCTATCCTCTTAGACAGGCGCCTGGTCGTGCGTCCGAGGTACCTGGCACCACAGGCGCTGGTGAACTGATATACAACGAAAGATTCGGAACGAGCCAGGAGTCTTTCTTTGAGGCTTCTAGTGGTAAACAGAACAGTCTCGGAAAGAAGGTGGACTCTTACAGCCGGATATGTTTGGTTCACAGCGACGGACAAGCATTTGTTCAATAACTCGTATGTGATCTCTCCTTTGAAGGGAACCGGAATGAAGACGTCCTTTTTCTTTACGGTTGGTATTTCTTTTAAGTTGATCAAAAACAGCAGAATGCTGGTGGATAAATGTCGTGGTATAATCGTTGTTTTGTAGCGTGGAGAGAATAAAATTCTTCCCAGGATGCAATGTTTCTTGGATGCAGAATTTTGCGGCGCGATAGTAAAGACACCGCACAAGCTTGCTCTTGTATTTCCTGGGCACAAAACTAAGAAAATGCGTGTACTGGCCCACTCACGTACCGTTGCGGCATACTTTCCTCTCAAGCAATCCGTCAGCTCGCCGCCGCAGTAACACATCCAAAAAGGAGATTTCACCGTCCTTCTCTATTTCACAAGTGAATTATAGCAATGGGTGCACACGGTTGAACTGCTCAAGTAGGTGGAGGTGATCAATCTGTGGGTCGCGTACGATGGATGGGTCGTCCATGTATCGCTGATAGAAATTAAGAGACGCGATAAGGTTCCGAATAGGACCACGGTCAATTTTTGCGAGGAAAATATCGGCAAGAAGTGGCCCTAAAGGGGAATCCATTGCAACGCCGTCTATTTTTCTGTAGCATTTTCTATAAAACAAGAATTGTTTGTTAAAGGTTCAACGCAGCAATAATTCCTTTAATCCTTGGAACGGAATACCGATGTCAAGGTTGTTTTCGGTTAGGTATTCACAAATGTAGTTAACGGTTTCTATCAAGGGAACATTCGTAAAGAGTGCTTCTATGTCGAAAGAGAGAAACAACTTGTCCCTCACACTCAGGTCTTCTACTTGTTTAACCAAATCAAAGGTATCACTCACAGTGTGGACCGATAGTTCTCTACGTAGTGGTTCGAGTATTCAATAAGCCACTTGACAACTACGTGTACAGAAGAGCCGGACATGTCGATGATCGGACGCATTTGTACGTTAGGCTTGTGCACTTTTGATAGCCCGTAGAGGTGGTGTGGGCGTGAGCCACATGGAGTTAGACGCTCGAGCAAGCAACCTACAATACAGTTGTCGCGCTTGAGTTTGTCAGCAAGTTGGTGAGTTTAGTTTCATCATTGACAATTCGAAGGCCTGGTCTGAGTCTCGTTGCAGCGTATCGTGCTCATCCTGAAAGCCGATTGCCCTCAATATCTTTAATATCGTTGGCAGAAAAGCCGGAATGTTGACTCGATGACACGCGCAAGGTCAATAATAAAGGACAAGCATAACTGCGGCCCCAACACTGCCCATTGTGAAACACCGCAGTCCACTTTACTTGGATTAGAAAATGTGCCCTGAAATCGAACATGAAGGCGCCGCTGAAGAGAGGTTTCCAATCCATCCAAGGACAGGATTTCCAACTCCGCACTCTTGCGGCTTTTGAAGAAGGATGAGGTGATTTATGCAGTAGTGGGCTTTAGAAACTTCTAGTTAGATGAAATCAATGCCGGTCTCACTGTTGGCTATCTCGGTCCAACTGCCACGAGCAATAAGTAGATTGGCAGCACATGACCGATGCTGACGGAATCCGTGTTGCTCACATGCTATGATGTAAGACGTTTCGAAGTAGCCCATTACAGCCTCAGCTATGATCGATTCCATCATCATAGAGAGCACCGGGAGGAGAGTCAATGGGCGATAGTTGGATGGCTCTGAACGGCTACCACTCTTGCGAATCGGGGTAATGATGAATTGCTTTCACATGTTAGGGACCTGCTGTACGTCCAATCATCTTTGGAAAAACCGTTAGTGGTTCAGCTATCCTCCTAGCTGCCACCTGCAATGATTCCGGGGAATGTTGTCGACACCGGAGGAAATATAGGTGCACAAGGAGAGCAGCTTCCTAAAAGTGGTTGCCGAACTAGTATTTGGCTGCACTCAGCGGTTCCCTGGTAATGTTGTATCAACAACAGTCGAAACAACTTTCGACGATGACGATTACCGGCGCGCCTATTCTACCACATGCGACAGCTACAGTCTGTGGAATCTATAGAGCACACAGCTTGCGTATGAACGTGGACGAAGGGCATGCTACCTGTACCCACGTGTCCATTCTCACCGACAGCGTACGTCGGCAGCTCCAACCTCCCCATTCTGGCCCGTACCGTGTCGTACGCAGAACAGACGAGACTTTCATGGTCGACAACAATGGCAAAACTGAGATCGATAGTGACCGACTAAAACCCGAACTTATTGACGATTCCGATGCAACAAGTGCCTTCACAGCCTACGCATCGCGACCAGCCCCATAAGACCAGAACAGTCAACTGCTTCAGCCGTTGTCAACTGATTTGGTAGGGAAGTTAAGCTTACTGTTCGTTCTTCAGACGGTGTCAGCGTTTTTTATTTTCCGTAGAGCATGCCTTTCACTCTTTCATGCACCGCGTTCATGGTTATACAAGAGTTCTCCAAAATCTACAAGGAAAGATTAAAACCTGAAACTTGCAAAAAGGAACAAAATCTTATGAAAACCCAAAAACGGTCCTTTACCTTTTTGTCATTACGCTCTTTTATGTATATGTAGCTGTGCATCTAAGCCGCTCTATTCTGCTTTATTTTCCATGTGCATACCATCGGTTAGTTGCCCCCTGACTGCCTTTCCGCTGTGTCTCCACACTTCTAGGTACAAAGAACCTTCCAACCAGTCAGCTACTCGGACTTTTAGGAACTGTCCCTCGTAAACACTTCTCCCGTTTCGGATATCGTAGGGAGGACGACAGCGTGAATCCGATGGAATCCGACCGCATTAGTGCTACCTTAGCAGTTGCAATAGGTGTAATTTACACCATGACGAGACCTATTGGCTCGGTGTGGCGGTGTTGTCTCGCAGAAGGCTGGCTGGAGATGGCTAGACCTCACATAGATCGAAAGACTGCTTGTAACTTCCCTTCTGGGGCGGGATACGTAGAAGACTGGAGATTTTTTCGGTTTGACTGTGTAAAATGCTAATTAAAAGTACTATTTCATTGTATACTTAGGGGATTGGTGCGGAATGTTGAACTGTATGTTGGGTTCGCTTGTTTGAGTTGAGTGCCGTCATCTCGCCGTGGCGCTCGTTTGGTCGACGAATTGCGACCGTTTCATGTGCAACGCTCGTTTTTCGTTCATTGTTTTTGTAGCTAAGACAACAAGGGATCTTTTACTGTAAAAGATTAAAGCTCCCCTGCATTCGATCTACTTGGAACCGCAATCTAGGCTTCTGCTAAACCTACTAGATTTTCACCAGTCTTCTTTGGATATCTTCTGCTGAAGTACAAATGCACTTCGGATGTAAATCAGCTCATTTTGCTTGGGCGAAGAGTTAGCTAACCACATTTACTGAAGGCGACTACTGGTATTTATTCTCGATGTTTCCACTACACAAGATCACCGGCGAGCGTAACATCAACAAAAAAAGAATTGTACATTAGAGTGAATCGGAAGGTGTTGACATTACTGTATGCGAATAACTATTTTGGTTGCGTTAACAGACGGTTACAACCTAATGCTCTCTATCACTCTGCATGCCATTGTAGGGCACTGCAGTGATTCCGAATGTTCCCCACCACCTTTTCGCGGATTGACAAGGTTGCACAGACGTTATTGTAAAGCAACTTCAAAGTACCCTTGAAGTCAGGTGTATCCAGTCGCTTTGGAGTGAACTAGAAATAAATAGCAAAATACAAAAGTAACACACTATAATTAACGCGCATGACCTGGAGCATAATAAACAAGACATATTTGTTCATAGAACTGTCCCTGATCCATCGCTTGTGTTTTATACAATCTGTTCCCTGATAAACTCAGAAATACTTCCTGATTGATTGAGCGAAAATATTAAACGGTTACAAACTTGTAACCTTTGTGAGCTGTATCATCTGTTATGCTTGCATACGTCAATCATATCCAGAAACTGAACTGATTCACATCAATGCACATTTTGTCTCATTTATAGTAAGGAAGAAGTGAGAGAGCTGTTGCGCGATCTGGACAAGAACGGAGATGGCAAAATTGGCGTCAAAGAACTACAGTTATTCATGGAAACCTTCGGTGACAAAATAGACAAGGCCGCAGTGGAACTATTTATCGCTGATTACGACACTGATGGTGATGGTAAACTGGACCTGAATGAGCTGGTGGACTGCTTGGCCGATTAGTGGGGCCATACTTATTTCTTGTTCATTCTTAGTTATTTTATAACCAAGTAGAGTACGATTCAAGCTTACTTCGGGCAGATTTACTCTTTTCTTCCGTACGGGTGGCAGTTGTTTAACGAATTTTTGGTTTCTCCGTTATTTTCACTAAGAAGTTTAAATTGGTAATGCCAAACTAAAACAGTCCGTGCAACGTACATCTATGATCTCACCAAACACTTCAGACTCAGGGTAGGAGTGCAATGGAGTTGGTGAGTGCACTATTTGGAAAACTCCATGGAGCAAGCTACAGTTTGAAACAATTAGATCCCTTTAGTAATTTGAATAAAACCGTAAGAAGACGAACACTGACAGATGTCAACATTTCGTATTGTCTCTTCAGCGCTAAGACAGTAACATGAAAATATATACGACGACAGGTAAGGTGAGACCGGAACAAGTTAGAACAGGGTAGGGGCAGGGCGGCCGTAGGCTTACGAACAACTGTTTCTGCACACAAAGTGCGCGTTTGATACGGCTGATCGCGACTGCCTCTGCGAAACGTAGGAAACTGGCGTTTGCATGTCTTAACACGATTGTAAACATTTCGGCCGGATCAAACTAATGACAGGTGGCCAGCATATGTCTACTTATGGATGAAGCAGGTGGTTTACGTGAACATGTGATATGAGTAACCGACGACTGGGTGATTTGATGTTGCAACCATTTAGGTACATGTTCCCTTATTCTGGAGTTCAACGATCTCTTGGTACGGCCGATGTAGTGTATACTACAACTACAAGTAAATTGGTAAATACAATATGAGTTGGCGCCAATAGGTTGTCGTTCGTCATTGGGGTAACGGCTATTCGATTATTCCGTTTGATAAGAACAGTTTCAGCAGCATAATAAGTCCTCTGGACTGCGGAACTTATGCGCTTCGTTGTCCTCATATTGGCAAAATCACCCTTAAATGGCAGCTCGATGTAGACCTACAGTTGCCCACTTCTTATCTTCCAGACAAACACTTCCTTAACTGAACATGCCGCGTCGGTGTGACCTGAATTTGCCAAACGACCATGTAGAGCGATACTGCATCGGTGCAGCTGTCTACACAGCAATTCAGTAAATCATTGTTCTCGGACACCAAACTGAATATCAACTGCTCCTCAACGACGTGATTCTGATGTGGCCGCTATAAGGAGTTTAGTCCGATGAGAAAATCCCAAGATTCTCCACCTTGTACAGTAATCACTAAGCAAGAAAAGAGTTTCAAGTACAGCGCATCAAAAGGAGTCTCAAAAGCAGCATTGATGGCTAATGTTTCCTAAAACATGGCTGTCATAATATGCGTCAAACCAAAGACATAATGGTCTTAAGCTACTGCCCCGATCACGTTCACCGAATGAGAATTGCTACTATTCACTACTGGACTTTAGTCGCCGCATCAGATTCTATAGTCGCTAGGGGAACTCAGGGTAGAGAAGAATGATCCCACCGGTACCTGTTACAATTTTTAGCATCAGCAGAGCTTCGAGACAGAAGCAGGTAAAAGGAACCGGCTATGTCTGCCACAAATTCTAGTCTCAAGTTCAAAATGCAATCAAGGAGATACAGAGGAGGAGTTCCCATTGTGACGAATGCGGTTTGGTTGAGGCAATGACAGGGACGAAAATATACTATGACCGCAAGTGAGTAATTGAGCGAGAAGACATAGGTTCGACTACGGCGGTTAAACCATACCAATGTTATTTGGTTCGCGTATATTTCCTAAAAACACAAGTTGAGTGAGCACGATTATTCTTGTCGGCGAAGGCAAAATATTAGGGCTTAAGCAACCCAACTCAGTTCAGAACGAGTTGGTGTTTCTGGTACTGGACACAAATGGATGATGTGCCTTCATTCAAACTTAGAATCCATAAGTCGATGCATTGTAGTGACCTTAAGTGAAAAGCCCTAAGGACTTTATTAATAAATGCGCATTAAATGCTCTGAGGACAAGTCATGAACTTTTATGAACAGGATGAGAAACAGATTCTGAACCTCACGCTAGAGCAGAAAATACAGGCAAAGAACCCTTAAGGCCATCAGCACAGTTGATTGAAAGCATGCCAAATGTGCAAGTGACCGCGTTAATGCGACTGTCGATGAAGCTAACATAGAGTTGCGCCGTGCCAGAAGTCCATAATTGTCACTCACTCTTAACCCATTTATGTCGGAGGCTAGAAATCGTGAGTCAGTCAGAACCATCTCGAACAGCATCGCTGCAGGTCTGAATCGGCATCACTGACTAGCCGTGCGCACGCGGCAACACTATAGAGACGCACGAATCAAGCAGGTGATAAAGCGCTGCGTTGTCGACTTTGATAAGTCAGCTAAAAATAACCGGCACGTGACCGCTGTCCCGAGAACGTAACACTAGGAACAAATGTGTTAAGAAGGGACTTACCACAAGTTTATGAACTTTGAGGTTATAGCGCATGTATCACCTACAGTGTAGCAGGCGGAAGAACGGGTTTTGTGCAACGACTCGTCACCGTTGCCAACATGTCGGGATAATGTATAAGGATACTACATCCATAGAAGGAACAACAACAAAAAAGCCCTTAACGAGTGGAGATCATGAGATTTAAGGCTGAAAGAAGAGGAACGCTAAAACGGACGCCAATCCATTGGGCTCAGTTTGAGCCCAAATTTGCTCATCAACTCGGACCTACCTGGGTTACAGTGTCGCTTGATAAAGCAATTTTAGCTACGACATACTCTCGGCGAGCAGTTTTCCCAGTAGCACAAAGCGATAAGTGCAGTGACTAATTCCGTGGTAGTGGGTATTTGGAATCAGAGAGTGAGCCTCGGTCCAGGACCATTCACTCAGTCGGTTGTCCCACTCCAACTACTTGGTTGGTTGGAGAAGAGAACATTCGTACACTAACGAACGAGGTGAGCCGTCATGATCGGAACCGCCGGATTTTCTGGTGAACGTATTAAACACCACATTCCAAGCAGTGGTCCAAGAAATTTGCAAACAAATATATGGATATAGTTAGAGTCAATCATATCGCAGCCAGGTGTATTAACAGTCGATTGCACTTGTTGCATCCCTATGGTACGCTCGACTTTCTCGAATCAGACAGTCCGCAAAGTGCTCCACGGAACCCACCAAAGTGGGAGTTGGTATAAAACTCAGTGGTCGCATCGTCCTGCAGGTTTGTGGACACGCACTGGAGGTGAGAATGGCTAGGGTGATGGTAATATTATGTTGCAGAAGGCATGTATCCATTATACCTTAGGAAACGGATAGCTTTGTACCAGGATTGAATAGTGAAGTTCGGGGTTGTAAATTGTTCGCTAACAGAATTTTGCTAGAGAAGGTAGCAGTTGTAGTTGGTCACCGCAATTTGTACAGTCACAAATCGAGGTTGTCAAACTCGTTCTATGTGGAAGCGGATTTGCACATGTGGATGACGGGTCAGTGGGCGTCTTCACACAAATCTACTGCCATTTCTTCCCATTAAAATAGGCGCAGAGCAAGGTCACCTGAGTACATGGCTGATTGGTTATTTAACGAGGCGTATTCACTCAGGCACAGGCTTCAGGGACGTTAGGGCAACATGTTTAAAATGACAAATTGCGAAAAACCTGCATTACGTGGACGGGAACAAGGGAACGGACAAACTGTGCGTTTCACATGAAGAAGACAGCACAATTTACAATTTGCTATACAGCGTGCGACATCAAAATCCTCCAAAGTTCCAGTGTCCCTCGCAAGGCATAGTTGATAGGCCCCAGTGTACTTTTGGCCTACTGAAGCAAAATGCAAACGGAGGTCATGGGTTGGACGATGAATTAACCAATCCCACCCACGTTGGTGAACAGTTCAATTACATACGTTTGGTCACGAAATGAAAGATTTTCTTACCCTCTCGAGTTCATAGCCCTGGCATCCGCCGTAATTGCGCGCACAGTGCTGTAGTGGTCTCATCGTTCGGTCGGGGCTAGTCAATTGAACATGGGAGTGGGTGTTCACAAAAGTGTAGGCATGTGTGACCGGATGTTGTCACCCGCTGGCTAGGATGTAAGCTGCGCCAATGTCCCGGCCGAGGGTCGGTAAAGCAAATCGGAGTATTCGGTCACTGATTATGACGTAAATAGCCACTGTCTAGGCGCTTGACCGTGATAACTATTACTAGGGGATAAAATTGGGCTGCACATAGAACGCAAATGAAAGATGGTAAATTACCAAGGACACTCTCCTGTATGGCTGCGTTGGGGAGCGATAAACAGTTGCCTATTTGTAACACTTGTATCCTAGCCGAGAGGTATACCGCAAGCAAAGTGAGTCGTGAACTGCAAATAGAAATAAAATTTTGCATATCCACCAACAAGTGGTACACGATCCTTAGATGGGAGCAGTCAATTTTACGCAGTATCTATGGCATGGGTTCTGTATCTCAACAGAAGCAATAACAAGAATGGTGCATGTAAAAGCATTCGCATGCTAAAATCAGATGGCGCATTGCCTGTTTCGCAAAACAATGACGCGTTCGTCTGAATTGCTGTTTGGTTTATACGTATATGCTACGCTACGCTTCACAAAAGTACTTCGTAATAAACCGCAATGTACACATTCGAAACTTGGAAGAAAAATTTGTGACAGAAACACAAGTTTCATTGGGTGATGCAGGAAGAATGTATTGCATGCGTGTTTCTAGCACTTCAGATGTTGCTAAGATCAACTCTCATTCATGGATCCGGAAGTTGCTGTAAGCTAAAGGTCTTTACCGCATTCGCTAAGATGAGAAAAGCTTCTGGGTCTAGCCGGAATGTGGCAAAGTTTGGACACGTGCGTACCTGTAGGGGCAATTTGCTCCACAAATTGGCATATCTCACTAAGAAGAAAGTCTATTTATTTTATAACGGGCAGGTTGCGAGGGTAGCAGATAGCTCATCACTGGTGGGATAGTTAGTAGTTCTTGGTAATCCAAAGGAAAAGCTGACTGTAAAAGGAGGATGATTTTCCGGACGTCGCAGCCCAAAAGGGTCTAGTCGGAGGTGAGCACATCGCTCATGGTAGCTCAGGGTTCAGTATTAATTCATGACC